TGGGGTGGCAGCTGCCACCCCATGCCACCCCAGTAGATCCGCCCCTGCTTCTCACAACAATTTTTGAATTTTGACCCATTTCTTCTGGTTTAGTTTAGTGAGGTTTGTAAGTTTGCTCTCTTTTGGTTCTGCAAACTTCTATGGAACAAATATCAGAGGTTTTTGATTTTCAGTTCAAAACATTAACATGTTGTCCTTAATTAACTTTGTCCATCTGGAAGACCTATTTGTGCTGAAGACTCAACTCTTGAAATGCTGCTTCAGTATTTCTACATAATGTTCTTTTTTCACGGTGCTATTTAATGAAGTGCACCAGTCCCTCCTGCAACACTAACAACATGATAAAGCCACTACCGTACTTATCTGTTGAAATAGTTTTTCCTCTTACTTCAAAGATGCTCATTAACCCTTAAATTTTCCATTAATCAGGCAACAGACTAGACTTGTTTTTTCAAGCTGTATGAAGTGTTGAACAGTCAATTACTCTTGATCCAAAACATTTACATATGCTAGGAAGTTGCAGAGCAAGATGACTTTTACTTTCAACATCACAGTGAGTTTGAGGCTAAGGAAAAGTATGGTTTAAATAGAAGTTTTAAATTCAAGTCCGGATCTGTGGACAAAGATGTCCACACAAAGCAAGAGGTATAAAGCAGCCTGGGTAAATAGTTCCAAGTCAAAATGTAGGATGCCAATAGAAAAGAAAAACCAAAGTATTTCAACTAAGTTTTAACTTCGACTCTACAGACTTATGCAATGAGGTTGTTGAATTTATTTCATTTCCTTATATTCTTTCTTCTGAAATGTGCTTTTCAGTTAAACTGTGCAAGACTCTTTACACAACAGTAAGAGACATATTGTAACTGAGGTGTATCGGCTTTTGATATAGATTGTACCCATACGAGCCAGTTGGACAGCATGTGGAGGTCAAGGCTGCCATGTATCTAGGACAGCAGTGACGCATACAGTTCTCATTATAAAGAATAATATGCTAAACACAAACCTAGACATATTCCAACATATTTATGCCAATACCAAGTGCATTTATGAGCAAATTAGCACCATGCAAAAAGTTGTTTAAATCAAATATGGAATATAATATAATGATTAGATTCAATAGTTTCACATTCATTCCCTTGAAGAGTTTTGATTTCCAATGTTTAAACTACTTGTTGCCCTTTTAGAACATTTAGCTGCTAAATTGTCTGCATCTAAGCTAATTCTGTTCTAAATGAACAAAAACAAAACATGAAATGCAAACCTGAGAAATTCTAAATGATGCATTACTACTAATACAGATAATAACAGGTAATTGTATCATCTGCATAGTAACAATTTTGGATTCGTGGTCACTGCTGCTGCCACCCTCTGTCATGTAAGACCCAACATTTCTGCCAATAAACCACATTCACCCACTGCTCTCTTAATTAAAGGCCTCACCAGAGACCATCCATGCTCAGCCTGACTGCAGTACATCTATCTTCAGCCAGAGAAAAGGCACCCTAAGATTAAATGCATGTATTAATTGAAATGTGCTCTAGTGTGTTATTGTAATCGCTTGTGTCCTTATTATTATTATTGTTGTTGCTGCATGTGTGAGACCTTCAGATGAAGTCGGAGAAGACTGGCTGGCAGATTGCTGGGAACGACCCTCAGGAAGTTGCTGGATATGGTGAGGATCTCCAGCGTGTCAGAAGCATTGAACATGTTATCGGGAAGTCCTTCATCTGTCAGCTTGTTGTTATGGAGATACACAGACCTATGGAGTCATGACGCACGCACACACACACACACACACACACACACACACACACACACACACACATAGGATATGTTCTACTAACTGTACCTGAAATAAAAAGAGGTATAATCACACATAAGACTTGTCGGTACCTTAGTTTTGGTTTATGACCAAATGTGTATGGGTAGATCCTGGAGAGCTGATTAGCAGCAAAATCAGCGCTGACCAAAGACGGCGGCAGGACTCTTGGTGCAGAGGAGAGCTACAAGCACATCAGAGATTGAATGAAACATTGTGATTTCTTTTTTATTTTTCTCTATGTGGTTTACATGTATTTATTGTCACCACTGGCCATTTGCCATGTTTTCTGAGCCGCCTGTGTGATTTATTTTTGTTTTGTTTTTTTTGCTTGCTAGATGCAATTTATTCAGAACCAGATAAAGGATTAATTTTCGAATACTGAATAAGAAATGCTTCTAAATGCCTTATTCTGGCTAAGCTGTTGGAGACAAAGAACTGTAAATTGTTTGTTGTTAGATCTTCCTTCCAAAAGCACAAGAGGCCACTGGTATAAGTAGAGGGAGTGAAAGAGGCCGTCTCAGTGTCAATAGAGAGAGCGATTTTAGGAATCTACAAACAGAACTGCAACAAACAAGATTTGAACAGGGAGAAGAAAGAAAATAAGAAAAGAGGTGCTTCAAACATTTGCATAATAAAAATATAAGGTTAATCCATACATTGAGGTGAAAATTCTTCCCGTCTGATCCAGACTGCATTTACTCTCCAAGAAGTCATCCTGAATCAAATTCTGATTGATGATGGCATGAGACATGCAGTTTCTGGAAACAAGTGTTGCATATTATATAATATGATAACCCTTCTATTGGTCCTGTCACATTTCCAGCATGCATCGTAATCTCCTGGTTTCATTTCTGCCATTTTATGGAAACTCCAACTACTTATGCAATCTCCACCTTCCCTAATGTCTTACACCTGAAGCCAAAAGTCTCTTTCCACATCTCCTTTTCTATTTTTCTGATCTAAATCACAGCCCAGATTACCCAGAAGCCTTTGAGCTCTGAGACCTCTCATCAAATTACATCAACAATCAAAATGTTGTTGCCCCTAAAAAATTAATTACCCAGATTATGTATGCCTCAAAGCACGTAACATGTATAATGGTTTCATTTAGCAGGTTTTCCAAGCAAAATAAGTGTTTTCCTTCCACTCAAATTTTTTATATATAAATTGCTTGGATAAAGTTTACAATATTTAACTTTTTGGAAGATATAAAAAAAATGAGAAAAAAACTGAATCTTGGTTTAACTCTATTTGTAACCTGTAATTATCAAAATTCCAATAATTAAAGGCTTAAAATATCTCCCTCTATGTGTAGTAAATCTATATAACAAACAAGTTTTTCTTTCTGAACATCATCATAGTTAAAAAGAAAAGATGTATCTCTTCAATAATATAAGACTCTCAAATGCTAAAATCTGTCAAATGAATATAGAAAGCAGAGAAGCATTTTTGAGATTACACATTCATTTAGAGCTTTCTCCTTAATAACATGGTTTATGTATTAAAGTAACATGGGATGTCTTTGAGGCTTAGTGAGCACTTAAAAATCCTCTATTCTTTCTGCATTCTGTTTTCCTGTTTGTCCCTTTAGACACACAAATCTGCCCATCCTTTCTCTCTCACTCGCCTTGTCCAGGATGGTCAGCAGCATTTTTAGCTTTGACCAGCTAAAACACAGTATGTCAGCTATTACTGTCTGTCACAACAAAGTAGACAAGATGTTTTGAGAGCAAAGAAACAATCGTGCCATTGTGCAGTGTGATAATTTTGGACACTTTAGATTCTTGCGTATGACTCACCTTGTTGTTAGCCAGGTACAAATAAGCCAGCTCTTCAAGCATTTCAAAACCTTCATCTTCAAGGCCTGAAAAATAGACAAAAATGTGAATTAATATAGATATGCCTGCCAAAAATTCACTGCATTGTCCGAAAGGAGGGGTAATATGTATTTTCCAGGCACATAATGCCATTTTATTGCACAATCAAGTAACTGTGTCAACTTCAACTGTTATAAAAATGACATATCCAACATAACTTAAAAACATTTGACTTCATAATTTATCACTTTGAAATTGGGCCACAGAGAAAAAGACCTGGAGACCAAAGCTGTTTTAATACTTAATCTTGCCTATGAAATCATAATGTCACATGCATGCAAGTTTTTCGGTCAAACCTCGATGTTTCAGATCACACAATTTCAAAATCAGATAAAGCTAAATAGAATATGTAGTGTTCAAGATGATTTCATTCATTAGAGGAGCAATCCTATCCAAACCACCCTGACAATACATGAAGATCTAATTTTTAAATAACTGACTAACTGTGATTAACCACATTTGTTTAGTTCTGTTTCCCTTGCCACGCCTTCTTGTCAGTGGAATTAACAAATCCCTTAAAAACAACCTGCCTAACAACATGAAGTAGGCTAAAAGATCTGAAAAAGCAACACATAAAATCCTATTTAAAAGAAAAAAATCAATATCCAATGAGAAACAAAGTCCCTGATGTCTATCGGACCGGGAAGGGTTACAACCCCGTTTGTACAGCATTCAGACTCCAGTGAACCACAGTGAGAGCCGTTATCCACAAACAGAGAAAACACAGAAGAGTGGTGAACCATTCCAGGATTGTCTGGTAGACCAACGTTACTCCAACATCTCAAAAGAACTTCTAAAGCATAACAGAGTTGGCTCACAGGTTAATGGTCATGACTGAACAATAAGAAAAAAGAGTGTGTTAAAATGGCCTCTACAGGAGAGGGTTCCAATGCCAAACCCACTACTGACCAAAAATAAATGCAAAACCACATTTCAAAGAACCCAGAGACTTTAGAGAAACCATTCTGTGGAATGGTCAAACAACAGTGAAATATTTGTAATGTGTGCATTATGTAACATCTTCTAGAGTAAACCTAACACGACATTATAGAAAAAGGACATTGTACTGAGAGTCAAACATGACAGTTGTAATAGGATGGTCTGTGCCTGCTTTCATTTTTTTTTACCTTTTAATGGGATTCTGACATTTTCTCTCTATGAGAAAACTCTGAAAGAGAATATTCCTCTCTCGATCCAAGCACACTTGGGTTTTACAGCAGGACAGTGATTCGAAGCACACCAACAAGTCCAGATCTGAGCTTTTTAAATGTTACCAAATCAGATCATTTGGAGTGGCAAAGTCAAAAGTCTGGACTTAAATCTAATCAAGTTGCTGTGGCATGACCATAAACACACCATTGATGCTTAAAACCCTTTACTGCAGCTGAATTAATACAATTATCCGGAGTAGATTGATTCGATGATGACACAGTGAGCTGAAAGACTCAGCGCCATGTTATCACCAAGGCTTGATTGATGGCAGTTTGTGCTCCCTAGAGTGGCACAGTGAACTATCTGCTGTGGATTGAGTGTTAGAAATTTTATTACATCCTCTCACATTACATTATTCACCTAAATTATGTTATGTCTTTATTCACAAAACGTTTTACAAAAGTTTATTCTTTTGTTGAATAAACTTTACCTAGTCATCCCTGAAGGTTATTCTTAAGGGTTGTAGTTTGTAAAGTCTGTTTGTTTAGGTGAATCTTCTGTCCTTGGCTATAAAACTAATTGACTCTGTCTGGCAGAACTTTTTTCTTTGCTCTGAACAACAACTCTTGAGGGACGGAGCTCTCATAACTTTTACAAGCAATATTTCATATGGTGTTCTACACTGAGAAAAACAGTTGCCAGCAAGTCCTATTACATTTTTATATTTTCATTATTTACTCATATCTATGTTTTTGATATTACTTTTACTTGTATTTTATTTCTACATTTGATCATTACATGTGTTTCTAATGCATGTCAGATCTACCTTATAAAATTCAAAGGTTCAATTAGTTTGTTTTATGGATTATTTTTAGTTTAGCACTTTCATCACTGTTATTTTTTAAGTAAATAAAAATAGAGTTGGCTTGATGAATCCTGGTCGAGGACTCTTTCTATGGAACTTGAACATTCTTCCCATGAATGCATGAATACTTTCCCGGTATTCTTTCACCCACAGTCCACAAAACAATTGTTAGGGTCATTAAAGACTATAAATATTCCTTAAGTGAAAGTACAATTGTGTGTTCTGTCTCTCACTCTACAAAAGTGTGCAAAACTTTGTCTATGTTCAGCTAAAGCACACTTTTGCAATTGTAGTGTCCCCATTAAATAAGAAATGGAAAAAAAAATCACACATGAATAAGCTTGTTCATGCAATACGTCTTTAAAAATCATGGCTGCACAGGTTGTAAACAGCTACATGAGATATAATTAAGCCATGGTGCTGGCACTCATCCTATATCAACCAATCAGTGGAGAAGTTGGCGTCTTATTCAGGCGTTGGAGCAACAAGCCCCGCCTACTTGGGGGCAGCTACATATGCAGCATTTTGGGGAAATTGTTGTCGTGGGTTTTACAGAAGAAGGATTCAACATGACACAGAACTTTTTATGAACTGTGTGATGCTGTGAGGGCTCACACAGGACTCCCAGTGAACACAGAGATCCTGCAAAGTGTTGAGACTTGGTTACTTGTTTACCCTCTGTGGTGAGCCAGTGTGTTTTTGTTTATTGTCCCACACAAAAAAGTCAAAAAACAAAAACTCATCCTCCTGCTGCTTCCTTTGTCATTTTCAGCAGAAGTAACATCCGGCTATTGGTCATATGTGACTTGTGTTGAGTGAAAAGTGTTTCCATTGCAGTTTTGTGAAATAAATCTATTTTTATATGGCTGAAAAAACACGTCATCCTAGCGCAAAAAACCTTTATTGAAAAACGTCACGTTTTTTTTTTTTTTTTTTTTTTTTTAAATTGGCATTTTTCCTTTTTACCACTTTTTTTTTAAAATTTAAATTTGGTCATTTTTAAGTTTAG